GCCTTTCGCGAGTAGCTGGACTACAGGCATGCGCCACCATGCCCGGCTAATTTTTTATATATATAAGAGTTGGCAATTAATTTCTTTCTATTTATAGTAGAGACGGGTCTCGCTCTTGCTCAGGCTGGTTTTGAACTCCTGACCTTGAGCAATCCGCCCGCCTCGCCTCCCAAGAAAAACATTTATTTTTATTATTGTATAACTTTAAATGGCATTGTGATATTTTCTAATTCAACCCAAATTGTAATTTCCTTCATTTTGTACATGCTAATTATTTTCATATGAGATATTGAAACTTGTCCCTATCAATTTGCAGTCAGTTAATGGTTGTATATGTTAAATGTTGTCTAGCAAATGATATCTCTAAAGATTGATATGTCTTTTTCTCTTAGTCTGGAAGAATCCTTGAAGAAAAATGCAATGATATATCTTTTTTGTGTTAAAGGTTTTCAACCTCATATTGGATTTCTTAAACTTTTCATAATTTATTTGAGGTATCCAAACTAAATGAAGCTAAAGCTCTTGTGGATGAACTGAACAGAAAAGCTGGAGAACAAAGTATATTACTTAAAACTAAGCAAGATGAAGCAGATGCTGCCCTTCAAGAGATTACTGTATCAATGCAGGTAATTTTTAGAGTGAGCACAAAAATGCAAAAATAGGGAGAACATTTATGTCTGATTGTCAATCAGTGTGAAAAATAATACTTCATTTATGTACATTTTAAAAATATTGCTTGTCCTTACTGAGTTAGACTGATAGTATTATATGCTTGAGCTTTTGTGGAAGAGAGTGGTATTTTCCCACATTGTTTAGAATCATATTTCAGTCCACTCAATTGACCATATATTAATTGATCTAAATCCTTTTTATATTTTAAATTGGTATGGGTCTGTTTATTTTATTTATGCTCTTGACAGTTAAGTTGGTTTTCTTCTCTCCTCAGCCTTTGAGAGTTTTCCCTGCTTTTAATATTCTCAAGATTTATGAAATAAGTCTTTATCCTATTAAGAGTTTCATATTTTATATTTTGATTATATTTCTTTTTAGCTATTGCCTTTCTTTTGTTGGACTTTTTCAAAGTAAAGTTATCGGAGTTCTTTCTTTGCCCAGATATTCTTTTATGTCAACATGCTTTGTCAGGATGCTCTTTTCTATTACATTGCTTTGTCCTACCGACTACATGACGTTGCCAAAGCCATCTTTTTCATCCTTTAGCCCTAACTCCTCCTTTGAGCTTCAGAATCAAATACCCAGTTGTCTGTGAAATGTATCTTCTTGGAGGTGCCATGGGCATTGCAGCTTGAAACAGGTTCAAAACAGAACTGATGATTTTCATCTCCTATATTTCTTTTTTCAGGTTGTGGCACTATAATATAGCTAATTATTCAAGACAGTCCTATAAATCATACTAGACTTTTGTTCTTTCATCTTTTGCATGTAATGAATCATTAAATTCTGTCAGTTCTACTTCCTTGACTCAAATATATATATCTTAAATCTGTCTCCCCATGTCCACGTTGGTGACTATTACCTAGTCCCTAGACTAATGACTCATTTAATAAAAAATAACTTTAATCTTTATCACACAAATCCATATATCTCAATTAAAAAGTAAGTGGTACAAAAAGTCTTAAAAATAACAAAGTTGGAGGACTTATGAATTCAAAATTTACTATTGGGTTCAAGTTAGGCATCGAAATCATTAGAATGCTCTGGAAGTCTGAGCAGGAATGAGACCCCATATCTATAAAAAATAGAAAAATTAGCCAGGTGTGGTGGCACATGCCTCTAGTCCAGCTACTTGGGAGGCTGAGGCAGGAGATTCGCTTGATCCCAGGAGTTGGAGGTTGCAGTGAGCTATGATCACGCTAGTGCAGGGCTACCCCCAGCCTACAGAGTGAGATGCTGTCTATCAAAAAAAAAAAAAAGAATGCTAGGGAGCCCAGAAATAGACCTATACATACATGGTCAATTGATTTTATACAAAAATGCCATAAAATGGAGAAACCATAGTCTTTTTAAAAAATGGTATTGATATTTGGATATCTACATAGAAGAAACTCTGAGCCTTTACCTTATAATTTATATAAAAATTTATTCAGTATGGAGCATTGATCTAAGTGTAGAGCATCAAATTATAAAACTTTAGAAGAAAACATGAGAAAATCTTTGTGACCTTAGGTGAGGCAGAGACTTATTAGATGTTATATCAAAATAGAAAAAAATGATAAATTGAATTTCCTCAAAATTAAAAACTTGTGCTTTTTTAAATAAATTCTGAAATGAAAAGGTAAGTCACAGACTGGGGGAAAATTATTTACAAAACTATTTGATAAAGGACTTGTATCTAGAATATATCAAAAGTGCTTCAATTCAATAATAGTAAAACAGAAAGTTCAGTTTAACAATGGGCAAAAGATTCTAACAGAAGAAAATTCAAATGAAAGAAGACATATGATGAGCCAGTAAATACATGCAAAGATGCTCAAGGTCATTGATCATCAAGGAAGTGTATAATATAACATCAGCAAGATGCCACCACATATCCAGTAGAATGGATAGAAATAAAAGACTAAGAATATGAAGTGATGGCAAAAATGTGGAGTATCTGGAATTTTCATAATTTCTGGAGGAAATGCAAAAATGCTCAGCTACTTTTCAAAAGTTCAGCAGTTTCTTACAAACATATTTTACTATGTGACCCAGCAATCTGCCTTTTAGGTTTTTAGCTAAGAGAAATGAAAACATGTGATAAATCCCAGAAGCATTATAGTAAGTGAAAAAAGCTAGATACAAAAGACTACATACTATATGATTTCCTTTTTATGAAATTATAGAAACAGATAATCTATAATGATAGAAATCAGATTAGTGGTTACCTGACCTGGTTAGTAATATATCAGACATGTCAGTGTAATTTTTATAATGTAAACTTTAGCATACTTTTTTTCTCAAGGCATTTTGGAACCCAATTAATATAAATATTTGTTTAAAGTAGCCAGCCATTTTTATTATTAAAAATGTCTGTCAATTACTTCTTACTTTAAGAAATTAAAATTACTTTAAGAAATTAAAAGAGTAATTTGAAATATGAAAAATGTAAAAACTACATAAAGGATAACACTTGATAATTGTGTATTTATAAAAGAAAAATATTCAGCACTTATGTGTGCTTTGTATACTCTCATTACATTAGTAATATACGTTGAGCACTGTGCTACTTTTTCTCTGAGCTGTTCTGAGAAGGGATGTATCTGAGATTGTAGCTAATCATATTACCTAGAAGTGGCCCAGTAGGAGAATAACTGTGCATCTCATATTAAAAGCTAATAATTTCACTTAATTATATAAATAGCAGATATTTTTGTTTGGTATTTTGTCTTGGACTCCTGACCTTGAGCAATCCTCCCACCTTGGCCTTCTAGAGTGCTGGGATTACAGGCGTGAGTCACCGTGCCCCGCCTGTGTTTGGTATTTTGTAAAAAGTACTGTCTGGAGAGAACTTAAATTCCAAACTGTACAACTTCTAAGGCTTGCAACTCTAGGTTTGTGGCATAAGGAAAGTACATATTAAATGCAGTGAAAACTCAAAATAGAGATACTTTTCACTTGGAAGAGTAGATTAATAAAAGATGGAAAACATGAGCTGTATCTGGGTTGTTTCAAGTGTAACATGTATTATGATAATTTAAAAAATTATGTATTATTAACTTGTTTAAAGTTTACGTAATAAGGATTTATTGCTTTGGTAAGTAGAAAAACGTAAAGCATACAAACCTTTTTGATAGCAAACCTAGAGTAAGATATATCACTGGTTTCCCAGGCATTTTGGAAACTCATGTCAGATTCAAAATTAATATTACAAAAACATTTAATAGAAAATGTTATTTTAAAATAATTATATTTTTGGCACCATGCTTTTAAATATTGAGTGCATTGAAATTGATTGGAATGCCTCTTAAATATTCCCATAGGATGCTAGTGAGCAAAAAACAGAACTTGAAAGACTAAAGCACAGAATAGCAGAAGAAGTTGTTAAAATTGAAGAAAGAAAAAATAAAATTGATGATGAATTAAAAGAAGTACAGGTAAGTTAAAAAATTCTAAGATCCATTTACATTTTTGCTTACTAGTAAGAGTTTAAACATTATTTATAGGTCAAGTTATTTCTTTTTTAATTAATATTGTTTTTGAACTCCAAAGCCCCTCAAATTATTTTTTAATAGTATAAAATGTGGCTTTCAACCAGAATATTACTTATAAAAGAAAATCAAGAAGGAAGGTCTGCCAGGAAAAGTAAGTAAATTAGTGATGGTAACTAAAAATAATCTTTGTTTACCACAAACCATGTTGTTTTGATTATAGATGGGAAAAATATATTGTAGATAAATTAAGACAAACTGTTAAGCTGTTTTTTTTCTCAGAGTTGACTGAATTAGCCAGCTAGTTCTAAAATATGAAGAGCCTGTTAAAAATGTCAAAGTGAGTCAAAACAAATATTTTCTAAATTAGATTATTGTAGTTGTGGTGGCAAGAAATCATATTTTCTCAACTTGAACAAATTTTACCTAGGTGTTTTAAAGCATTTTGATATTTGAAAAGAAAGGACATTATAACTATAGTTATTTTGAATAAATGACAATAAATATTAGATAATTTTTAAAGAGTTAATGATTTTTAAAAATATATATGTTTTGAAAGTAAAAGTGACTTTTTTCTATTTTAGCCTCTAGTCAATGAAGCTAAACTAGCAGTTGGAAACATCAAGCCAGAATCTCTTTCAGAAATTCGCTCATTACGCATGCCACCTGATATAATCAGAGACATTCTTGAAGGAGTTTTAAGGTTGATGGGTATCTTTGATACATCTTGGGTGAGCATGAAAAGGTAAGTTTTTGAATTTGTGAGAACTGTTATTTCAGCACTGAATGACATATTCTTTCATAGAGTTTAATATCTGTTTTCTCAAACTTTATCTAAATACATGGCTATGCACTTTGCCCTGAAATCTCAAGATATTTTATGTAATCATATATTAAGATCTATGTATTCCTTACTCCATAAGTGATTGTTAAAAGTGTTAAAAGAGGTGTAAAGGAATGCCTTACAATCTTTAAAAATGTCTCAGTAAATTTAATAGTTTATTTGGCCCTTACATAGTAGACAGCACTTTGAATCCACTGTGATTTACTGATGAAGAAAATACAATCTGTATTCTCTAAGAGTCTTGTACTCTTAGGGGCTTGAGAGAAAAAGAGAGACAGAGACAGAAGTAAAAAGGAAACCCATAAATAATATAAGAGAGGTATAAACTAGGAGAGAAACTGGAATTAACTAAATATGGAACCATACAGCTTCAGGTTTCACATTATAATAATGGTGTTGTGGTTTGTGCTGATACTAAGTTCCTCATTAGGATTTATGTTGTTAGTGAAGAATCCCTTTTACATCTGGAAATGGGAGAGGAGATTTAGGTTGAGGGAGTACTTTAAAGCACTTTAAAAGGAGTTAGATATCTGGCATGGTCTGCAGGCCTTCCAGCCTTTCGGTTTTCAGCTTGGAGGAGGCCAAGGTGCAGCTTTCTTCAGTCGTACCGAATTCAGGTTGATGTTACATGAGTCGCCTCCACCATGCTGCCTAGGTTCGACCCCAGTGAGAACAAAGTCATGTACCTGAGGTGTACAGGTGGTGAAGTTGATGCCATGTCTGCTCCGGCTCCCAAGATTGACTCCCTGGATCTGTCTCCAAAAGAGGTTGGTGATGGAAGGATTTGAAGATTGCAGTGAAACTATTCAGAACTGATAAGCCCAGATTGAAGTGGTACCTTCTGCCTCTACCCTGATCATCAAAGCCCGCGAAGAACCACCAAGAGACGAATGAAACAGAAAAGCATTAAACACAACAGGAATATCACTTTTGATGAGATTGTCAACATTGCCAGACAGATGCAGCACCAATCTTTAGCCAGAGAACTCTCTGGAATCATTAAAGCGATCCTGGAGACTGCCCAGTCTGTGGGCTGCAGTGTTGATGGATGCCACCTTCTTGACACCATAGATGGTATCAACAGTGATGCAGTGGAATGCCCAGCTAATTAAAAAGTACAAAGGAAAATATTTCAATAAATGACCATTTGACACGCCCCCCCCCCCACACACACACAAAAAGGAGTTAGAAAATTCTCTTGCGTGGCCTCCTAGAATATATGAGTACCCACTGGGGTAAAATAAGATTATGATTCTTTCATTTCACTTCTTGCTCTAGTCAATTCACAGAACATTAGAAAGACTGTTGGGCATCTTTTTAGAGTTTGTTGTTTGTAAAAAATGATGGATAATACACTAGAAGCTTAAATTTTTTAGTACTCTTTTTTTGTTAACTAATGGATTAAAAGTGTTGCATATACCATTTTGTCAAATTGATATTTTTTCAGAAATAGCAAATTTTATTTTAGCTTCATGTGAAGTAATATGCTTTAATTTTAGTTTCCTTGCAAAAAGAGGTGTGAAAGAAGACATAGCAACCTTTGATGCACGAAATATTCCAAAGGAAATAAGAGAGAGCGTTGAAGAACTTCTTTTCAAAAATAAAGGATCTTTTGATCCAAAGGTAATTTTTGACATTTATGCCATGAATTCCCTTTTCCATATCATATAATATGCTTTTTAAAATGTAATGCTTTGTCATTATCAATTGTTTAGATTGTGTAAAAACTAAATTAAAAAAATAAGCTATAGGTATTATAATTGGGAAGTATTTGCCAGCAGAATTAGGTAAATTAAAATCTAAGTAAGCAGGGGCAGATTTATCATCTTAAGTGGGTTTTGAATCTTAGTATCTACTATCATTGTTAAGTTCCCAGCTTATCATTTTTTTACTTCCAACTTTTCTGATATGCTTTTATTTTTTCCTGTGTATTTGTCATATAATAACAGATATCTTTGTTAGGATAGTTGTATCTAATTTGAGTGAACAGTTTAAGTGTCATGATTCTGGTATTTTTAATATCCTTTATTCAAAACATTATATACATTTTCTTTGACTCCAATTACATATAATGGTTTCAAAATCTTATTATCTAAGCCGGGCGCGGTGGCTCACGCCTGTAATCCTAGCTCTCTGGGAGGCTGAGGCGGGCGGATTGCTCAAGGTCAGGAGTTCGAAACCAGCCTGACCAAGAGCGAGACCCTGTCTCTACTATAAACAGAAAGAAATTAATTGGCCAACTAATATATATAGAAAAAATTAGCCGGGCATGGTGGTGCATGCCTGTAGTCCCAGCTACTTGGGAGGCTGAGGCAGCAGAATTGCTTGAGCCCAGGAGTTTGAGGTTGCTGTGAGCTAGGCTGATGCCACGGCACTCACTCTAGCCTGGGTAACAAAGTGAGACTCTGTCTCAAAAA